ACTTTTCCGGTGACCCCCGGCCGGAAATTCCTCCGGCTCCACTTCTATTCCTCTTCCTACGCCGGCATCAACGCTTCCAACGCTCTGTTCTCCGTCACCACTCAATCCTACACTCTGCTCAGAAACTTCAGCATCGTTGAAACCACTTTCGTTATGAAGGAATATTCCATCCATGTTGAAGATGGAAGAAAACTGAGCATCATGTTCACACCTTCAAGAGATTCCTACGCTTTGGTGAATGGGATTGAGGTTGTGTCCATGCCTGATATTTATGATGAAACTAGCATATTTATTGTGGGAACCAACAGTGCATTCAACATTGGCAACAACACTGTTATGGAGAATCTTTATAGGTTCAATGTTGGTGGCAATGTTATATCTCCTTCACATGACACTGGTCTTTTCAGGTCATGGCGTGATGACACACGCTTTCTGTTTGGTGCTTCTTATGGTGTCACTCAGCTTGTTGATCCTGAGGTGAAGATTGAGTACCCACCTGGGATACCCAGTTTCATTGCTCCGCGTGATGTGTACGCGACAGCTAGGTCTATGGGTCCAAATCCTAACATCAATGTCAACTATAACTTGACTTGGATTTTCTCTGTTGATTCTGGGTTTTCTTATCTGGTGAGGCTTCATTTTTGTGAAGGGTCTAGTAACATTACAAAGATTAATCAGAGGGTGTTTGATATATTCCTAGCTAATGAAACTGCTATTTTGGGGGCTGATGTTATTGCTTGGGCGAGTTTATTTGGACTTTCACATTCAAATGGGGTTCCTGTGTTTAAGGATTATGTTGTGAATGTTCCTAATGGGGAACCCCAACAGGATCTATGGCTTTCACTTCATCCACACACGAGTTCAAAGCCTCAGTATTATGATGCTATTTTGAATGGAGTGGAGATTTTCAAAATTAATGATAGTGAAGGTAGTCTTGCTGGGAGAAATCCCATTCATAGACCAATTGAGCCATTATTGGCTACACAGTCTGATCATGGAAAATCATCATCAAAGAAAGGAATAATTGTAGGTGGTGTTGTTGCTGGAGGATGTGTTTTGGTACTTGTCATTGGACTCTTTTCTTTTGCTTCTTTGAGGCGGTGCCGGCACCGGCACCGGCATGGGAAGGATTCTAGTGCTAGTGAAGGGCCAACACCAGCTGATTCTGCCAAGACCAACACCATAGGAAGTTATGCATCCTCTCTGCCATCAAACCTTTGTAGGCATTTCTCATTTGCTGAGATAAAGGCAGCTACAAACAACTTTGATGAGGCCTTGCTACTTGGTGTGGGAGGATTTGGTAAGGTTTACATGGGAGAAATTGTTAAGGGAGTGACCAAAGTTGCAATTAAGCGTGGGAACCCAATGTCTGAGCAAGGGGTGCAAGAGTTCCAAACTGAGATTGAAATGCTCTCTAAACTTCGTCACTGCCACCTTGTTTCACTTATTGGATATTGTGAAGAGAACAATGAGATGATCCTTGTCTATGATTACATGGCTTATGGAACACTCCGTGAGCATCTATACAAGACAGAAAAACCTCCTCTGCCTTGGAAGCAAAGGCTTGAGATATGCATTGGAGCTGCTAGGGGTTTACATTACCTACATACTGGTGCAAAGAACACCATTATCCACCGTGATGTGAAGACAACAAACATTTTACTAGATGAGAATTGGGTGGCTAAGGTGTCTGATTTTGGGTTGTCAAAGATAGGACCAACATTGGATAACACTCATGTTAGCACAATGGTGAAGGGAAGTTTTGGGTACCTTGATCCTGAATACTTCAGGAGGCAGCAACTGACTGAGAAATCTGATGTTTACTCATTTGGTGTGGTTTTGTTTGAGGTATTGTGTGCACGCCCAGCTTTGAACCCAACACTTGCTAAGGAGCAAGTGAGCTTAGCTGAATGGGCACCTCATTGCTTCAAGAAAGGGATTCTTGATCAAATCATTGATCCTTATTTGAAGGGTAAGATTGGTTTTGAATGCTTGAAGAAGTTTGTTGAGATTGCCATGAAGTGTGTGGCAGACCAAGGCATTGAGAGGCCATCCATGGGGGATGTGTTGTGGAACCTTGAATTTGCATTGCAGCTTCAAGAAAGTGACAAGGGAATTGGTGGAATACACATTGAAGAAGAAGAAGAAGAGGAGGAGGAGGAGTTGTACATAGATTCTAAGGGGAACTAGGACCTTGATGATGCATTCAGGTTTTGATGGCAATGTGTATGAGCATTGGTGGTAGAAGAAGCTTAGCTAGTGAAGACTCTGATGGATTCACACCTAATACTGTGTTTCCCAGATCATGAATCCAAAAGGGCGTTGAGATCATAATTTTTCCTTGTTATTAACTATACATATATTATTCTTCTTTTCTTTTGTTGCTTCTGATTTATGAATTACGATAATCATACAAGTAGGTTGTAATTTACGAGTACGTTACATGAAGATTGAATAGCAAACATATTTATGGGATTTTGTTATCTCTTATGACAATCTTCAGAGTCCATAATTGATGTTGATCATACATGTTTATACCTCGTATTCGAGATGTTAATGCATGGTAACGCCAGGGAATATCCAGCGCAAGTGTAAACAAACAACGCATAACACATCAACATGATTTTTTGGCATATTACATAACTTGTGGCGGTGGTCCCTCTTCACTTCAAAATTATGTGGGTATGGAGGGAGTTATATTATATATATCCTGTGTGACAGAGTGAGTGCAAACTAAAGAGGTTTAATAAACTTGAATTTGTACTTTATACCTTCTTAAATAACTTTTATACTTTTTTCATAATTAAATGATAAAAAAAAATTAATGTTAACAAATTTTTATACTTTATACTTTTTTAATGAACTTTAATTTTTGAAAAAAAAAATCTTAATATACTAGTTTGTATACATCCTTGTCATTAAGTTTTATTAAATATTTACTGTGACAATTTAAAGTATTTTTTATTTTAAAATTAAAACTTGATTTATTCTTTATTCCCTCTCTTTTTTTCTAATGTTATTTTGAAAGATTTGTAGTATAAATATTTAAAATTTTCAAATTTTTACTGTAATAAATAATATTTATTTGTAATGCATGTGAAGTTTAAGAAATAGAACGCTTTTGTGTGTGTATGATAACATTTTAATTTTTTTTTATAATCTGGAGAACATATATGATTAAATATTGTGTTCGATAAATGTAAACTAAGAGTTTTTTTTTAGTTAATTTTATATAAAAATAATGGTTGATTATTGATTAACAACTTTGTAAAGCGCAGGCTTAAATGTAACTTACTTATAATATATAAGGAGTTTTGTTTAAGTTACTAAAATAGAGAAATTTGTATATAATAAATATAAAATAGAGAGGAGATTGGAGTAATTTACTTTTCTTAAAAAAATAAAATAAAATTGGTTGCTAATATATAATATATAGGAATCCATATAATTTGGAGGGTACTCGTTAACGGGGATGAAATATTAGTTAGGAAGAGGATCAGATGGGGCAACGCGTGAGAAAGAGTTAGATATAAAGCTGTTTTCATGTTCTATATAAAGCAAATGTCACATTATGGAGGACACATGTGCTGTGTTGTGTTTATATTATTAGAATGGTAAGGTGGATTCTGATTTATGAGAGGGGTCTATTTGCTCCATATGAATGTCACACTTCCACATTTGTGCATTTGGCTAATGCTAATATTCTAATGTTGACAGAAACAACTTACTTTATTTTGTATATTGATAATCATGTTCATACACTACTAGACAAGCATAAATTAAACATGAAGCATTTGATACGAAAATGGTTAAATGTGAAACGAAGTTGAGCTGTTTCTTGTACCGACCTACTTCACATATTTATTAATTGCTTGCTATAAATTGGCTGATACCGTGTAATTATAACTGGTAGGTCTATGTCACAATAAATTGGCGTTGCAAAACGTGAAATATATAAAACTTGGTAACGTGGGTTAGTTAGAACAATTTAAATTTACTCATAGGAGAATTACACAAGAATAAAGAAATTCTTAATAAAAATATAGATAAAAGGGAATAACGTCTCATGATAATTAATTAATTATGTACTGATTGTGTAGAATTATAGTTATTTTTTTTTTTATCTTTTATAAGAATTACTAGTTGTTTTTGTTAATTTATCATTAAATTGTTTGTTTCTCTTCACTTTAGTGATTTGAATGAGATTTAATGCCTTGTTCCACAATAACTATTCATATCCTTTCCAATAAGAAATAACTTTCTTAGTACTTCTCCTTCTCCCCCGCCATTAGATAATGATCAAATACCATTAGTCAGACAAATTGGGTTGCCGAGAATCTCAATCTTCAGCAATATGATTGCAGAAAATAAAGGCCTCATCAGATTCACATTACAAAATTAGCAAGAGACGCAAAATATTCTTTTTTGTGATTAAAAGTTTAAAAGAGGAAATGTTACCTTATCTCAATAAGAGAACGTGACAAACCTCATTTACAATAGCTAACATTTTTGTATTGTGAGTCTGACATCTTACCTTTCCTTGCCATTTACAGGTATTAGAAATCAACATAAAGTGGAGATAACTTTTTCCCTTAACCATGCTCATCAAACCATTAATGTTCCATTATGGCAATAACCTTTAGTGCTATTATCCGTTGTTACAAAGCCTTAAGTATGTGTTTATATTAGAATTTGCAAGCTTAAATTGGAATAACTTTAAGTTTCTAAACTTAATTGTGGTCAAAAGTAAATATGTTTAGAAACTTACATATAAAAAGTAATTCTAACAGAATAATAATATTTGGATAATATTAATTAACATCACTTTTGAACAAGTCGTTACTTAAATGACATAAGTTTTACTCTATTCTCTCCTCAATCCGAATCTTTTGAGTTTTGTTCTTTTCTCTAATTTAACTATACTTGCATTGCCAACTTAATAGTAAAACGCGTACTCACATCACAACCTCAGCCTCTAAACTGTATAGTAATTACTAGACAAGGGGACAACAATTCTTCATATTTCAACGATAAACTCGTTTCATCTACAACGACATCAATTTGAAATTTTGAAAAGAAGATATTCATTTGAAACACATCATCATCTATTTACATCCAAGGAAAAAATACAATGACAAAATCACGGCAATACATGTAGACTAGGCACCACCACAGGTTTGTGAAGAGAGAAGAGGAGACCATAGCTATTAGTCTTTTACGAATAGGAATAAAACACCAATCACTATTGATGCTGGGGAACTAAATCAGTAGCCGCGGCAATCTTCTTCTCCAGCTCTGGCTTGTTGGCTCCTACAAGTTTGTCAAACTCTTGTCCATCTCTAAGAAAGAAGAAAGTTGGTGTGGCTTTAATGTCCCACGAAGTGCTGAAGTCCTGCAACATAATAAACCATGTTCAATAGTGCTATAGGACACGATTTAGTCGCCATAACGTCCAAGAAGCTGCATGTTGAAACAAAATATTGACTACAGGAGGAATGTGAAAATGTTTTATGTTCATTGCTAAGGGGAATTATAGTTAAATTAATATATTTCAATAAGCTTTCATTACAAAATAAAATAATTACAATAGCTGTAACTTCACTGCTTACCGTTAGTTCATCCACATCAATCAATAAGAACATAATGGATGGGTATTTCTCTGATAACTCAGAATAATATGGTGCGATCACCTTACAAGGGCCACACCACGTTGCACTGAAGTTTGCAATCACCTGTTGAAGATGCACTTTAGTATTAATTATTGTACCCCAAAGAAAATGAAGTACACCAATGAAAGGAAAAAATGTAAAAAAATATTAGACCAAAAAATCTTAAGCAATTAAATTATCATCTATTTCATCAGAATGGTAAGGGTCATGTTGAGATATATAGTCCCACATTGGTTGCATGTGCAACTAATGTGAAGTTTATAAGGTCTTGGGCACTCCCACCCTTTGAGCTAGCTTTTGGAGTGGTGTATCCCAAGGTTCTTTACATGGTATCAAAGTCTCGTCGTCCCCCACTTTCTCTTGTGGAATTTCTTAGCACAGGTAGGTTGGGCCTGTTGCATCATCCACTCTTCAAGCCCAGTGGGCTCTCGTGTGAGGGGGCGTGTTGAGATATATAGTCCCACATTGGTTGTATGTGCAACTAATGTGAAGTTTATAAGGCCTTGGGCACTCCCACCCTTTGAGCTAGCTTTTGGGGTAGTGTATCCCAAGGTTCTTTACAGGTCAACTCCAAAAGTGTCTCCATGTGCATTTGTGTAGAGAGAAAAACTTCCAAGTGAAGGATATGAAATGGGCATCAAGTGTTTGGGTGTCATGCTGATGTGGTCATAATCTATGGGGTCATACATCCAAACCATGCCCTTGAATAATCTGCACTAAGAAAATATCTTCATACCTAGTTGCGAACAAATTCTACACCACTACTAAACTAGTCATAGTATAACTACGTAAAAAGATAGATGAAGTCAAATTGTGCTTTAAAGAGTTCAAGTGTAAATAATAGGACCTCCTTATGCCAATTTTAACAATAGCAGGTTATATCCTTTTACAAAGTTTAAGAGTAAATCATAGGGTCTACCCATGCCAACTTTGTGAATATCAGGTTATATCATAAGCCTTCCTATTAACATGAAATGTCCTTTCACACATTTTGTCAAATTGAATAGCAGGGAGTCAGTAATGTCTCCTGTGACTTTGAATCAGAGCATGCATATTGTTAACCATCAATAAGCATTCTAATAAACTAAAGGCATTGAAAAGAAACTAAGTGGAAGCTACAATTCGTCTTTTGCATATGAACTCTTGAATGTAGATTTCTTTCTCAAGTTATATGCGAACAAATCTGAAAAGGATTAGGGAGACTTTGCTGTCAAGCACTGGAAATATAGATTTATTCAAGTTACCAACAATACACATGCATGGTAAAACAATAAGGGTTCAACCAAACAGCACGACAAAATAGTAATAGGCCTTTAGATAACATTTAATTTTATTATGCTACAAATTAAATAAGAAGTTAAACTTACAATTTTGCCATCCCCCCTTGCTTGTTCCAACTTTTGGTCCCAAGATTCTTTGGTAGTAATAAGTTGCACATTCCCAGAAGCAAACTCCACATGATGATCGGAATCATCATCTTTAGCTTGAGGCTGCTAGAATTAAAAACATGAAACTTCTCAGTCTATTGAATTATATAAATGAAAGATGTGAACTGACAATCTTGCAAAACTATCAAAGACAAACTCTTTCCTGTTTTGTCTTCCAGGCAAGCAATAGTGGCGAGAAGAGAAAAGTTAGGAAGACACTAAGCTGACAGAAGAACAAACTTTTAGGCTACAGTAGGAGTAATATTGTTTTGTACTGAGTTAATAGGTTTCTCACAATCACTGGGACAACACAGACAAGTAGAGTGGGTAAAGAAAAAGGAAAAAAGAAAAAGAAAGAAGATGCATTTTCAAATATCCTTACGCTAAAGATGAGCTCCTTAGCATCATTGAAGACATAAGGAATTTAAGAAAAACAAAAGATAATCCTTGGAGGAAAAGGAGGAATAAAAGAAAGTGGAAAGAGGGAAAAAGAGAAAGAAACAGGTGTCAAAATTCAATGGATAAGCTATTAGTTAACACACTTGAATAGACCAAGACTAGAGCAATAGGAAAATCGCTGCAAACTAGCAATGATTGATGATCTTTCAAATGTATGTTGAGATATATAAAACCATTAATATAGCCTCACCCAATAGCTTAAGCTTTTGGGTTGAATTGGTTCTTAACATGGTATCAGAGCCTTGTGTCTCGGGTTCAATCCTCACCGCCCCCACTTTCTCTTATGTAATTTTCTTAGCACAGGTAGGTGAACATGTACATTATCCATCCTCCAAGCCCAGTGGGCTCTCATGTGAGGGGGCGTGTTAGAGTATAATATAAACCATTAAAGAGACCCTCACCTAACAGCTTAAGCTTTTGAGTTGGATTGGTTCTTTACTTGGTATTAGAGCCTCGGTGTACCGGGTTCGATCCTCACTGCCCCCGCTTTATTTCTAGTGGAATTTCTTTCTTCGCACAGGTAGATGAGCCTGTGCATTGTCCACCCTTCAAGCTCAGTAGGCTCTCGTGTGAGGGGGCGTGTTGAGATATATAAAATCATTAATATACCTTCACCCAATAGCTTAAGTTTTTGGGTTGAATTAGTTCTTTACAACTAATTATTGTAAATATTATGTTTCATATTATGTTTCCATATATTAATATTTTACTTTAAGCACGTAAGTATGTAGTTGTGTCTATATAATAAACTGAACAAATGTACAGTGTTTTGAGAAATAAATATGATAGGAATACACCAACCTTCACCATGCGCTAAGTGTGCATAATAAATGAAGGGATTTTATTATAGGTATCAAATTATCAATCACAGCTGATTCTATATTTATGGGGTCAATTTGTGGGTGATTGGTTCTGCAGTTTTGGGGTTGATTTATGGATGATTGATTATGTAATTATTGGTGATTGATTACGTATTAAGGGTGATTGATCATGTATTTATGGGGAATCTATGATAAATAGGGGAGAAGGGGAGGTAATGAGGAGACAATTGAGTGGTTGGAAATGGAGCCTCTCGGAAGCCTTGGGTACGAGCTTGCAGACCCTCAATCATGAGTGATTTTGTATTTATGGGTGAGTGATTTTGTATTTATGGGTAATTGATTTTGTAACTATGGTTTGATTTATGGGTGATTGATTAAGTAATTGTTGGTGATTGATTATGAAATTAAGGGTGAATGATCATGTATTTATGGAGAATTTGTGATAAATAAGGGAGAAGGGGAGGTGATGGGGAGACAATTAAGTGGTTAGAAATTGGGATATGAGAGAGACCAAGTGTCTCTTGAAAGCCTTGGGCACGAAGGTTGTAGACCCTTAAAGTTCTGTAGTATTCACTCATTTTATCTTGTTTTAAGTGATTTGATCAATTATACTTATATTTTGTTATAATAATAATACAATATTCTATTTTCTTTCTATTTTTATTTCTTCCTTTTTGATTGGTTCCTATCAAAATAATATACAGTTTTTCTCCTTACAACTTGGTATCGAAGCCAAGGGTTTGGCTGGTGCAAGTATTTAGAGTTGGTGTTTGGGTATGTGTCTTCTCTCCAAATCCATGCTGTGAAGCAAAGATTTGACCAATCTTGGTTGTTAAATCATTGATCCCATGAATACTCAAAGAAGCTTCAAATGAGTGGGAGTAAGCAAATGTTAAGACTCCCACTTGAGGGGGAAAGTTGTTGGAAGATTCACAAAGACAATGGTGTCCTTGGGATATAGGCAGAGTCAAGATCACCACATACTTCTCTTCAAGAGGGATGGAAACCTATCCATGTAAATATACTCAAATTCTCACTATGAAGGATTAGTCATCAATACGAGGTCAAATTTTGGTAATTGTATGCTCTTGGGAGGAAACCTAATTACATGGATAAGTAAGAAGAAAAATGTTGTAGCCAACATGGAGGCTGAGTTTCAATCTATGGCACAAGGACTTTGTGATCTGCTATGGATAAAAATTATACTGGATGACTTAAGATAAAGTATGAAACTCCTATAAAATTGCTTTGTGATAACAAATCTGCCATTAGCATTGCACATAATCCATAATCCAATTCAGCATGACAGAACCAAACATATTGAGATAGATCAGCATTTCATAAAGGAGAAAATCAGTAGTTGTCTCGTCACCATGACATGTGTTGCTTCAGGAATGCAGCAGATGCGTTAACTAAAGGACTTCATGCAGAGAGATTTCAAGATCTTACTCACAACTTGGGAATGATAGATTTCTTTTCATTAGCTTGAGGGGAAGTGTTGTCATAGTCCTACACCTTTCATTATTCCCAATTTTTTGTATATCATTGTAATTATTGTAAATATTCTGTTTTGATATATTAGTATTATATTTTAGGCAAGTAATTTTGTAATTAAGTCTATATAATAGACCGACCTAATGTACAGTGTTTGGAGAAGAAATAATATTCAGTTTTTATCCTTCCAAACTGATGTTTTAGTAAGTTTCCGTCTCTAATTCTTGCATAGTTTTCGTCAGTTGTTGCATCGAGTGACTCACAAAGCAGTTCATGTAGGAAGGCTGAAGAAGTAAAAGTTCAGGTCTAGATGTGGCTAGCAAATAACTTTGTTTTGCCAAAAAGAAAAGGCATAGTAAAAAGACTATCAGTTCAGGTTGGAACAGCAGGGCTTCCTTATATTATCCTCATAAACTCTATTATTATAGTAAAAAAAAAAAAATACCACACACACACACTGAAAAAATTATGACCACCTCTGGAAGAGTATGTGATCTGTTGAAGATAACAGCTTATCAGAGAGCATGAGAAAGGCCTTAGGCTTTTAACTTTTAATGAGCATAACAATAAAGATTCTTACTGAAAAGTATCCAAACAGGTTCACCTTAGCCACACAATTCCCCATCTAATTGTTTGGAAGCCACACAATTGTAAACTCGAATGAACTGAAGCCTGCCTGCAAGCAGAAGAATCACCAATTTCAACACAACAAATTTCTCAAAGTCAATAAAAATCAAAGAGAAAGGACAACAAAAACAACGGTCAAGTCAAAGATTAAACAAGAGAAACAACACCCTCCACCCGCGGGCAATCGCAGAAGAGTAAGAATAAACGAGTAAAGGGGATACAATACGAAAATTATAATGCTCATTTAGACATGATTTTTCATTTTTAAATTCTCAAAACTGCTCAAAGCATTCCCAAAATGCAAATTTAAAACTTGATCTTGCTCTTGCCTCTAATAACACAATTTCTATATATGGAATTTAAAAGTTGCCAACTTTCCATCAATTTACATGCAAGAAAAAGAAAACCCATGAAAAATTAAATCAACATGAAGGGATTATTTATGCAATTAGATTAGGCATCAAATTGAAAGAAAACCCAGAATTGAATTTCAAAGAAAAATAAAACCGACCTTTGAAATGGCTAGGAGAACCTAATTTGCAGATTTGGGCCTGAATTGGGAAACTAAGGTACAGATAGGAGAAGGAAGATAAAGAGCGTTTTTCTTCACGAGGTGCTGCTCCTGCACCTGCCACTCTGTCAAATTATAATTGTCGTTTTGTTCCAAACACAAATTTTGTACAATTATTGAACCAATTTCTGAATAACATTAAATGGAACTTCAAATTTTCAGACAAGTTATTTATAGTTGCTTAATCATAATGAGTTGACGACAACTTATCAATGACTCTATATTTACCAAATGTCACTTTTCCTTAGTGCGAAATGTTAATTAGTTAAACCTTGTTGATTTAATTAAGACAACTAAAAAATAAATAATAAGGTGTGAATGGGTTGGTTAGGTGTGTGTGTGTGAACTGCGAAGATCGAATTTTGACAAATGAAGACGACCAAGTCTTTGACGCTAAAACCCATATCCACAATAAAAGTAAATATTAAAATGAAAAAAAATGAAAACACATTTTTGTCTTAAAAACAAAGTGTGAAATTATTGAATAGTTTTTCTTTAATAATTATGAAGATTATCACGAGGACTCATTACAAAGAAGAAATATTAAAATCATTGATGAGTATCATTTATCAGCTTAAATATCTAGATTAAAATAAGAGTTCATTTTTTCTGCGGTCACTACAGATAAGTTATTAAGTTATTTACAGTAAGTCCAATACGACGTCGTTTTGAGACGGAAATCATGGTGTTTTTATAATTTTAATTTGTTTCAGAATTTTTATAATCTTTATAATTATAAATTTTTAATATTTCAATTCAAAACAACGTCATTTTAAAAGTAAATGCAGATAATTTATTTACATTAACTGCAGAAATATTTTTCGATTGAAATAATTATTTTACATGATATCAAAGTCAACGGGTCATATTAACTATGATACCATAAAAAAAAATCAATTCAACTTAAAAATTTATGTCGTTGATTGATATTATATTGATAATTTTATATTTCTTTAACAAATTCGATCATCGTTGTCCATTTAATTACCAAAGAGAATATATTAGAGAATTAAAAATATTGATAGACCTTCATTTATCAACTTAACCGGTTATAAAAATATATTTAGGAGTGAGTGAATTTGGGAGAAATGATTTCAAGAGAAAAAATAAAGATGGTGGGAATAAAGATTTTCATGATTTGGTTAAAAAAAAAAGAAAGAAAGTGAATTTTACGTAGAATTGCTCACGAGAATGAATGATTAAATAAAACAGGTAGAAAGCTTACCCAAAAAAAATAAAACAGGTAGACATCCAATTCCGACTGAATAGAAAATAGAAAGAAGTTTCAGAATGTGGTGTTTGTATCAAGGGTTTTACTTCTCTCATGTTGTATGAGAGAAGTTATCTCATGTTGTGAGATAAATTAAGTGGGGTCCACCAATTTTTAAAAAAAGAAAAAAGAAAGAAAAGAGAGGCACGTCTTTTTATGTGAGTGTAAAATGAGAGAGAAGTCTTATGTGACATAAGAGTATAATTTCCCTTGTATCAATGAGAATCACGTGGGAATTATTAGAAATTGGAGAAACCCAAGCAAAGCTACGGGAAGTGATTCCCACGCGTTGTGATCCAAAGAAAGAAAGTTGCATAGTAATGATGGCGATTATGTTAAAGTTTCATTGAGTGGCAGGCCACAGAAATATAATTAAATTTAACATAGGCTATGGTTCCAATTACTTATCTTTAACAAATACAATGCTTTCGTTCCCAAATCGGACAAAAATGACATTAATACATTAACTTCTTATTCATTAAAGACTTATAAAGTTACTCTAAATAAATTTATTTAATGTTAATCAAAATAAATAAATAAAATTATGTGGGATCTATGTTGACTCATTTAAAGAGAAAAGAAAGAAAAAAAAAATATAGACACCACATATATTTATATATTATTTTGATAAAGATTAGATAAATTTATCAAAAATAACTTTAGAAACTTTAAATTCTTCGTAAAATAAGAACTTAAATTCTGGGATAATTATATTATTATTATTATTAATTTTTTTTTTGTCACCTCTTGCGTACACAAGCACTTAATTCACCCACATTCCACAATATACAACATAATCACCAAAGTCACTGAGAATGGATTCTGAAAAGTGAAAACTGAATTTCACTGCAGACCAACTTAGTTTTGGTTACAAATATTAACCCGGCTGTTAGAGATGATCAAACGGAAAAGGTTCTTTTTTCATAACCAGCGATATCTCACGAGGATGATTTGTTATGGTAAAATATCAACCACCGTTTGGATGAGTTTTTTTAAAAAAATTTATGAATTGTTTTTAATTTTTGTTAAAAGGTAAGATTATTTTATATTTGAATATATGATCTGAAAATCACTTTTATATAAAAAAAATTGTTTGAATATTAAAATAAATAAAAAAACATTTTTTTATATATAAAATTAGAAGAAAGAGTATGCTCAGTCACCTTTATAATGAATTTTTTTTTCAAAATCTATTAAAGTGTGTTTAGATGGTCTTATAGAAAAATTTACTTTTATGTCCTTCTTATTTTAAAAATGCTTTTTATAAAAGCTAAACTATTTAGATTTAAAAAAAAAAATTTGAAAAAAAATAACTTTTGACTTTCTCTTTATTCAGAAGCTAAACTTTTTAGCTTGTGAAAAAAACAGGTTTTTGATTTATTTATTTTTATGGCTTCTGCTTTTCTAAAAGCAGGTATCCAAATGCACTTTACAATAAAAGTGTTTTTCTAAAAAAAAAAAACTTGATAAAAAAAACTCATTCAAATGGTCCCTTAAATTGATTTTGCTCCTGAACTATGCAAAAACCTGTTTCTTCCACACACAAGCTCAATTATCATTTAGATGTTGTTGTAAATAATAATTATTTAGTTATTATTTAGTCATTTATTTGTTGTATTGGGCCAAGCCCATTAGGTCAAAATTAGGTCAAGTATTTTCTATAAATAGAGAACCCTTTGTACAGATTACTTACAATTCTATAATATATTAGAATACCCTTTTTCAAGTTGGTATCAGAGCTCTCGATCTGAGGGCTTTGCTTCCGCACATATTATCTTCTTTTTTAACAAAACCCTAATTTCTTTGCCTCTTGCCGCCATCAGCCGCCACCGGAAAATTTTTCCGGGGACCTTTTGGACCATTGTTGACCTTATTTTTCCTCCGTTCTATCATTCTACGCACTGTTCCTCCGCCACAAATGACCCAAACACCTCTGACCGCCTCCAATCAGATCTGTCTTCACCGTTTGGACCACTTTCCGGCGACTTTTCAACCGCGACCACCCACAGACAGGTGCGCGATCACCGGACGACCACACCAGAAAAATCTCAGCCGGAGAAGCCCCTCCACGCGCTCTCACGCGCCGCCCTTTTCCCGGCGAGTGAATCCCACGTGCAGCTCCTTTCTACGATGCGTGGAGGCGCGTGCGACCGTGTTTTTGGACCGGACCACCACCATTCTTCTCGTCTTCTTGTCTTCTGTCTGGATCTGTGATTATTTTTCTGATCAGAGGTCATTTGATATTCTGTTTGGTTATTTTATCGCTGGTTGTTAACTTTTTTGTTAAAGAATGGCCGAGCATGATAGTTCTTCGATCTTATCTGGTAAGAGCACACGTTCTATATCTCTTCTTGCTTCTTGCACTGATTTTAAAACCTCATGGATTTTGGATTCTGGTGCAACTGATCATATGACTTGTCGTACTGAGTTGTTTTGTTCTTATCATCTTACTGTTGGTAGTCATACTATATCCGTAGTTGATGGATCCCATAAATCAGTTATTGGTTCTGGTAACATTCAAATTCAACCTTCTTTGTTTCTTAAAAATGTTCTTTATGTTCCTCAGCTTTCTACTAATCTTATCTCCACTTAAAAACTTACAACTAATTTGAATTGTTCTATCACATTTTTTCCTTCTCATTGTCTTATTCAGGATCTTACCACGAAGAAGACAATTGGAGTTGCTAATGAACAGGATGGGTTGTATCATCTCCTTCCAGACCATGCTAGCAAAAATCAGTTATTAATGACACGTCATCCTTCTACTGCAGAGTCTATGATTTGGCTCCATCACAAGCGTCTGGGGCATCCACCATTTAGTCTTTTGAAGTCTATGTTCCCCTCTATGTTTCTCAATAAGTCGGTTGAGACCTTTAGTTGTGATGTTTGTGAATTTGCAAAACACCATCGAGTGTCATTTCCTTCTAGCACTATTAAAAGCAGGGAACCTTTTTCTCTTATCCATTCTGATGTTTGGGGCCCTTCTAAAGTGCACAGTGTTTCAGGTGCAAGGTGGTTTGTTTCTTTTATTGACGATTGTACTCGAATAACATGGATATACTTGATGAAAGACAAGTCTGAAGTACCAGAGATATTTATTCGGTTTCATCACATGGTTGAGACTCAGTTTGGTAAGGGTATTAAAAGACTCAGATCTGATAATGGTACTGAGTACGTCAATCAACGCCTGTCGCGATTCATTTCAGACAGAGGTATGATTCATGAGCTCACATGTGTTGATACCCATCAACAAAACGGGGTTGCTGAAAGGAAAAATCGTCACCTTCTTGAAGTTGCTAGAGCACTACTTTTCCAGACATCTGTTCCTAGTTCTTATTGGGGAGAAGCAGTATTAGCTGCAACTTTTTTGATCAACCGTTTACCTTCACGGGTCCTTAACAATATAAGTCCTATTCATTCCATGACTTCCTTCTTTCCTTCTGTTCCCATATTGCAGAGCCTTCCACCAAGAGTGTTTGAATGTGTTGCCTTTGTCCATGTTCATAAACAACATCGGAGTAAGTTGGATCCTAGGGCTCTTAAGTGTGTCTTCCTTGGTTATAACCCTTATAAAAAAGGGTACAAGTGTTATCATCCACCAAGTCGGAAATTTTTTGTTTCTATGGATGTCACCTTTCAAGAATCTGAATCTTATTTCCTGGGTCCTCATCGTCAGGGGAGAACAGTTCTTCAGAAGATTCGTCCCCTTCCTTCTTTGAGTCTGGATCAATCTTCTCTCTTCCTAGTGTGTCTGCTCCTGGTGTGTCAGAACCTTCAAATACACCTGAGATACAACCCATACTGTCTCACCAGCAACCTCAATCGTCTGAACCACTGGTAAGTCCTGAATCTCCTATTTCTTCTG